GGGAATGCTTTCTCAGCCTCCACTGCCTTTTCCATTTTAAAAATGGTCAGTGGCTTTTTGGTTCACATCAGGACTTACTGAAGAGCGGAGGGAAGGCAACCTCTGAATTTACTCCGATACATCCCTTCCAGAGCAGCCCAGGAATTATTTCACAATGTTTATGTGGAGCCAGTGACTTCATTGTGCGCGTGTGTCCTCAGGGCCAAGAACAGCGCCAGGCACACAGTAGGTGCCATTGTCAGCTTAAATGCCACCTCCCCAGGGAAACCTCCCTAGATCCCTTCAGGCTGGGTTAGATGGGGGGGTCGCTTGCAGGTGCACACCCATGCACTATAAAGTACATAGGTCTAAACCTTGTATGACACTTAACACAATTGTAATTCAAATTATTATTATAATGAAACTATTATACAATATTGTCATTGACTATTGGCATGATTCTTTATTTAATTTTGCTAGGCTGTAAAGTCCACGAAGTCAGGGACCAAATCTGTTTATTCATCTCTGTGTCCTCAGTGCCGGGTGCAGTGACTGGCAGGGGGTAGTACTCAAAGCTTTTATTCAGTGAATGTGCCTATTTAGTGACATCTCATCTTCACCATCACTTTGCGAAGTGAGTGTAAATCATTTTCATTTAAAAATTTAAAAATGTTTCTATTACACTTGATATTCAATATTATTTTATATTAGTTTCAGGTGTCCAGTACAGTGGTCAGAATGGCGATTTCCAGTGGGCGTGCTGCAAGAGGAACACGGGCGTGCCACAAAAAATGTGCTGCACATGGGAACACATGTGCTACCTGGCTATTTAGTCAGGGGCACTGACCTCTTTTCCCTCAGACTGTCAAATCCAAAAATAACAACAGCCAACACAACAATAGCCATCTGGTGTGAATGAATCAAAACTATACCTATTTTTTTGTTAGATTGGCAAAAAATTATATTTTTTGGAGTGCAGCAGAATTTTAGCAATTCATTTATGCATGCCATGAGACAACAAAGGTTGAAAATCCCTGTGTTAGACAATTATATAATTTACAAAGTGGCCCCCTGATAATCCCAATACCTGCCTGGCTGCATTTTACAAGGTTATTGACTATATTCCCTATCCTGTACTTTACGTACCCGGGGCTGTTCTGTAGCAACCAATTTGTACCTCTTAACCCCTTCACCTTTTTCACTCATCACCCCAGCCCACTCTCACCAGGCAACCCTCAGTCTGTTCTCTGCCTCTGTGAGTCTGTTTCTGTTTTGTTCATTTATTGTGTTCTTTAGATTCTACATATAAGTGAAATCATATGGTAATTATACTCATGTTTGATGAGACCTCCCCAAGGTCACACAGCTAAAACAGGGACAGACACACCCAAGGCAGGCACTACCTCTTCCTCTCCGATCCCCGCAGCCGAGGAGCCCTTGGCACCTCCGTCTCCCTGACTTCTCACCCTTCCCTCTTCCGCACTCACCACTTCCTCCCCCCACCAGCACCTCCTTCAAACTTGTTCTTAGAACACATTATTCATACTCAGGAGCAAGTGGTGGACAGCTTAGACTTCCCATGGGGAAATTACATATTTACAAGGGATCAAAGATTTAAGCTTACGGGTGCAAACCCTGCTGGTAGAATGTAGGCATGAGCCAACCAAGAAAGGAGAGAGGACATGCTGTGAGGCACTGTCCCCATTGCACAGTTGAAGAAACTGAGGCCCAGAGAGATTCATTCACTTGCTCAAGTGACCAGTCCATTGTGGCATATAACATCACCCAGAAACTTAGTGGTGTAAACCACCACCATTTATTCTGTGGGCTGGGAATTTGGGGAGGGCTCTCTCATACAGTTGCCATCAGATGTCAGCCGGGGCTGCATCAAAGTGGGACGCCCGAGATCACTCACTCACATGCCACATAGTTGATGCTGGCTGTCAGCTGGAAGGTCAGCGGAGCTGGCTGTGGCCTCTCTGGCACAACCACCTCAGGGTATTCAGACTTCTTACGTGGAGGCTGGCTTTCTACAGAGTGGGTAACCTGAGTGAGCCATAAAGAAGCTGCAGGAAGCTTTCTGACCCAGCTTCAGAAGTCTACATAGCCCTTCTCTTGCATCCTATGGTTACAAGCCAGTCCCTAAGGTTGACCCAGTTTAAGAGACGGGGATGTAGGCTTTACTTCTCAATGGGAGGACAAAGAATGTGTACACATGTTCTAAAACCACCCCCGGGACTCCGCCGACAAGTGGAAAAGCTGGAATTTGAACTTGTGAAGGCTGGCTCATGGCAGGTCTCTCAGATGTTCCTCATGGGTCCCACAGGAGGGTTTTGGGCAGAGGAGAGGCCGCCTCTGGCTTCAGTTTTCGCAGGGGCCCTCGGGCTGCTGGGTGCAGATGAGCTGTAAGGGCTGAGGGCAGACGCATGGAGACCAGAGAGGAGGATGCTGCGAGACTCCGGGTGAGAGATGAGGAGAGCTTAGCTCAGGGTGGTACGGCGGGGTCGGGGGGGAGAAGTAGTCAGAGTCTGCGTACATTTTGGGTGTAGACTTGATAGGAACTGCTGATGGATTGAATGTGGCAGGTGAGGGAAAGAGAAGAATAAGGGATAACTCCAAGATTTATGGTCTCAACAATGGGAAAAATGGAGCTACCAATAACTAAGATAGAGAAGATTGGGGGGCGGAGAGCAGTTGACTCTTAATCACCTCACCAGGCTGCCTTCAGGCGAGGTGGGGTTCCTGGGACGAGGGGAGGGGTCATGAGCATTGACCTGTTGCAGACACTGAGCTGGGTGCTTCGCATATTGCGGAAGGCAGACCGGTGAGAATGACCCTAAAGATTCTGGCCCTGGTTCAAGCCCTTCCTGTTGGAATGTGGGTGAAACTTATGGGTATAATGAGACATCACTACCGTGATTATGTCACGTTATATAACAAAGGGAGGTTGTCTGGGAGGACTTAATTTAATCACAAGAGTGCTTTAAAAGTAAAATTTTCTCATGCTAGTAAGCAGAAGGGAAGTTAGAGTCAAAGGATGAGAAGTGTTTGACATTCTGTGATGACCTTGAAGTTGGGGAAGACCATGTGCAAAGACCAGGGAGCCAATTCTAGGAGCTGAGACTGGCTCCAGCCAATGTACAGCAAGGAAACAGGGACCTCAGTCCTACGGCCACAAGGAACTGAATATTGCCGGCAACCTGAGTGAACTGGAAAACAGATTCTTCCCAGAGCCTCCAGCTAAGAGCCCGGTCTGGCAGATATCTTGGGAGGCCTAAGCAAAGAACCCAGTTGAACCTGCTCAGACCTCTAATTGTAAACTCATAAACGGGTGCTGTTTTTAAGCCTCATAGTTTGTTATGCAGCAGAAGGAACTTATTTTACTTAATCCTCACAACCATCTGAAAGGGAGGGCCCATCCGTATAGTACGATGAGGGGACAGGCAGATGAGTAAAGGCCTTTGCCCTAGGTCACACAGGATAGTGCCACAGTTGGGACAGAAACTCGGGAATGTTACCATTTCACCAGGCTGCTTCATAGAGAGGGTGTCAGGGCAGCTGGCAGAACTTTGACATCTGGGGCCTGACCGGACTGGGACCTCAGGTCCCGGTCAAGGCCAGAGAGTGGAGCTCAAGTTTCCGACTGTGATGGTGTTTGCCTCGGGAGCGCTGAGTGTCTGAGCCTGTGTGTGAGTCCCTGAAGGTGCACACGTGGGAGTGTCTGTGTGAGGCTGTGAGCCTGGCGGGTGTGTTACACTGTGTGTGAGTCCGAGTGTGTCTGTGCCTCAGAATGGCCCTGTCACTGGGAGTGACTAAGTCCGTGTGTGGCTGTGTCTCAGTGTGAATGTGTGTGTGCCCACTGAAGGGTGTCTGAGTGTCTCTCTCGGAGGGTCTGTGTCTGAGGGTGACAGTGGGAGTCTGACAGCGTAGCCAGTGTTTGTGTCCAGGTGGATCGGTGCTGAGGGAGCCTGAATCAACGCTCAGGCGGGGTGGTGGGGGAGAGGGGGACAGAGGGCTGAGTATCTCTTCGTGCAGGCCTGAGAGCGCATGTCATCTGAGACCATGAGTGCCTGTGTGTGTGAATTCTAGGGTGCCTGTGAACAGTGTGGGTGCATGAGGGTGTGCGTGCCTGTCTGAACTTCTCTGTGGGTTTGTGTGGGAGCTGACGGTCTCACTGCGTGGCCAAGGGTGTCCATGTTTGTCATTCTGTGTGTGTCTGGGAGTCTCTGGATGTGAGTCTGTATGTGTCCATGGGTGTCTCTACCTGTGTGGGTCTGTGTGAGTCTGAAGGTGTCATTAGGTGGGTCTCTGGGTGTCCGGAGCCTGCGGTTGGTTTGGCAAGCGTCTCCATGAGTGAGTGTGGCTGCGGTGTATTTTGCACAGTGAATGCAACAGAGTGGGTGCCTGTTTGAGATCTTCCATGGGTTCACGTGTGAATCTGAGGGTCATGCCTGCTGGTTGCTCCCAGTGTGTCCTTTCTGAGGCTGTCTGTGTCCCTGGGTGAGGCCTTTCTCGGTGGGTGGCTGGATGACTGCATCAGGGACAGTTTGAGGGCAGCATATGGGGTTACGGCACGGCCACGGGATCCAGTCGCAAACAGCCTGTCGCACCAGACCCTCCCGCACACACCTGCTGGGCTCGCGGCCGCAAAGAGGCCGCGCCAGCGCCCTCCGGGCTCCCACGCCCCGGCGCGCAGCGCCCCCTCCTCCGGGCGGCGCCCATTGGCTGCGGCGCCGGTTCCGAGCCCGCCCCGCGCGGCCGGCGGGGGGCGCCGCGGGCCAGAGCGCGCTGCGCCGCCACCACCGCCGCCACCGCCAGCGCCACCGCCACCGGGAGCGCAGCGCGCCTCGGGCTCCGCGCATCGCCAGCTCCCGGCCCGCCCGTCCGCCGGCCCAGCCGCCCCCGCCAGCCCCGGCGCGGAGCCCCGGCCTGGCCCCGGGTCGCCGCCACCACGCCGCGCGCCGTACTCCGCGTGAAGAATGGGGCGGCCAAGCTGCCCAAGCCGCCCGCCGCTGCCGCGGCGGCCGAGGCGCCCGGCGCCGGCGCCGGCATGGAGCGCTCGCAGAGCCGCCTCAGCCTGTCAGCCTCCTTCGAGGCTCTTGCCATCTACTTCCCATGCATGAACTCCTTCGACGATGAGGACGCGGGTAAGCTTCCAAATCCGAAGGCCCCCTCCCCGACCCGCTCCTCCTGCTCCCTTAGAGGTGGCTTCTCTCTCCTCCCCACCCCCAACCCCTCTAGAGGATGCGCCCTAGGGTCTCCTTTCCCAACACGGGACCCGCAGGTTCCAGGAGGCGATGTCTTCTAGCCTTCCGCCGCCCCCTAGGGACCCCGAGATCCTCTGCATTCATTCACCCCTTTCCCGCAGGTGGGTCCTTTGGGTCGCCTGGACCCAGCTCTCCCTACTCACCTGCGCCTACTGGATGCCTCCTGTGTGGTCCCTGGATCGGACTTACCACCCTTCCTGAACCTCTCGTGTGTACCCACTCTTCAAACCCCGGGGCTCCGACGCGCCCCTGGGGCTCCGACGCGCCCCCCGCCATTGGAGGTGGCGCGCAGACCTTAACTCTCCATCTTTGTCTTGGCTGCATCCGGAGGCTCCCTGCCCTAGACCCCCTGCCCTGCGGCCAAGGTCCTTAGTACCCTGCTTGTCTCTTCTCCGCTTCTTCTAGAGGCGGGGTCTCCGGACTCCCGGCTTTTTATCAGTCTGGAGCGGATCCGGGCGTGGAGTAGGGGGAGCTGGCCGGGTGACGGCCTATCTTCTCCTTTCCAGCCCGCTGGTCCTCCAGATAGGCGTAGGGCGGCGCCAACTCTACACCTGCACGCTCTCCGGAGTGTGCCCCTGACCCTGGGTGCTCTTGTCCCTGGAGAAGCCCTTCTGGTTGGGCTGAACCCAGGCACCATCCCGCAGCCCGAACCTCTGTCACCCTGGCCTGCATGAAACCTCAGCCAGCGCCCGAGAGTAGGGAAACCTGCTCTTTGGGGCCCTGGGACCAGGCAGAGGGCGCAGAAGGGCTCTAGATCAGGTTCTGCCCTGCGGAAGCGAATTCACCAACAGGTGGGGAAGCCAGAGGGTTCGGGTGAGAGTTCCCCAGAGCGCACCGGCCTGGGAGTCAGAATCAGGTTCCAGTCTTGCTTCTCTACTTATTAGCTGTGACCTTGAGCAAGTCATGCCACCCCTAGCCTTGATATCCTCATCTGCAAAATGGGATGGCAGTGCCTCAGACACAAGGGTGGATGGAGTTCAAAGTGTTTCATAAGCCGAAATCTGAGAGTATGTGAATTCCATCAGGGGACAGAGGGAAGAGGGGTATGTGTGGAGAAGAGCAAAATGGCTCCATGGACACCTTTGAGAACCTGATGGAAAAAAAGGACTATCTCTAAAACAAAGTACACGTATGTACATCAAAAATTTGTCCATAGTTTTTGGAAGTTCACAGGGCCTGCTTAAGACTCCCTGCAGCAGGGACTCTTGTTTGGTCAGCCTGTTATCCGGTAAGCCATGGGATCGAGCCCTGGGTGATGTGGGCGCCTATCTCCCTACTGGAGTAGGAGGCATGTGGGGAAAAGGGAAGAAGGTTCTCTAGAAGAATTTGTTGGCTAAGTGAATGAATGCGGGTGTGTGGCAGACCCTTGGCGGACCTGTCTTGCTCTTGACCTAGAGATGGCAGTAGGGTAAAGATGGTTACTGCAGAGACGTTTAACAGAATCACCATTTTGCAAAAACAAAACAAAACAAAACACCACAAAACCCACAAAAAAAAACCCCCACTGAGGTTCAAGGGCTTCACCGCCTCCTTGATGTAGCTGAGGGAGGTTGTATTACTCGGAACAAGGTCGGGTGAGGAGGACTGGAGGAGCTCTCTACCTCTGTGGCCTCCATGGGAGCAGCATCAGAGAGAAGAAATCAGGCTCTATGGGGGCTGAGGAGGGAGCCCCGCCAGCCTCGGTGAGTTGGCTCCCCTACCCCTGACTTGACTGATGGTCCGGGACCTCCCTGAAGTTCAACAGGCCCCTTGGGTCTCGAGTCGCAGGCTGGGCCAGCACTTTGGTGTGTAGGAGCATCTGTGACAGGAACAGTTAGCTCCGTGTCATGGGTCAGATACCTTGGTGATTATTGCTTGTTGCGGGTGACTTGCTCTGATTTCCCTTAAGTCAGAATAGGTCACTTCATGTAATTTTGGAGATTTTTTTAAAAGGTCCACATGATGTTTCTTCCAGGGATTTCTCCAAATTCTTAAGTTTTTCCCTTGGAAAAGGCCTAGAAATCATCATGTCCAAACCTGCCCCCTTTTCTTTTTGCTCCCAAATGTGTGTGTGAGAGAGAGAGGGAGAGAGAGAGAGAACGAATATACATGTGTGAGAGACTAAAACCCCAGTGCGCGTGTATGTAACCCAAGGTCACCAGTGAGGCAGGTGCAGAGCTGAGACTAAAATCAGGTTCTCTTTCCAGTAAAGCACGAGCCCTCGCTCAGAGAGAGGATTTTTCGAAAGCCAAATCTCTCTGTGTAGGAAATGTTTCCCAGGTGAGGCGACCCCAGGGAGCAGCTGACAACCAAGAGCTTGGTTTGGGCACCTCACGCTCACTGTCTGATCATCTTGAGGGATGCCTGAGTTTGGGGAGGGGGAGGGAGAAAGTCAAGTTTCATTTCCTGAAGACTAATGATTGTCTGGTGAAAATCGGAAGTAGGGAGCGTTGTCTTAGTGCTTAATTTCTCTTGTTCTCCTCCAAGTCATTAATTTTCTCCTAAAAAAAAAAAGCCTTCTGGATTTATTCTTTTAGAACAGCATCGCGCTGAACTAATTTCTAAAAGCAGCTTGAATAATCTCTCAGACGCTGGACCAAGACTGCTTCCGGAGGAAGGCTGTCAGAGCCGGCTTCCCTCCGTAGTCCGTAGTCCTCTTCCCCACTCCCTCCCCAGGTCCCCGCGGTGGCTCGGAAGTGTGTCCTGGAAGGGCCTCTGGCGCGTCTAGGTTCCTCCCTTATTGCTGTTTCCGACTCCTGTTGAAGATACCTTTTCCACCTGCCCGGTCGAGCCAGAGCCAGGGCTTACATGCCACCCTTTAGCTGGTTCCCTAAGAAACCGTGTGAGGAGGAGACTATTTCATTAGCCTTCTCTGGGCCAGAGCACTTGCCTGTCTTGGGCTTGGGAGGTCTGGACATTTTGTGGGCCAAAGAAGCTGCCCTTCCTCCCCCCCTTTTCTAGCCATCTTTGGGCTCAGGATGGTAGTCATTGCAGACTCCTAGCATTCCTCTCAAGGAATGTCTTCCCTTGCACACTCAGAACTCCTTTCTTACGCTGCTTTTGCTCCTTTCTCACAAAGATGCTGAGGTTTTAGAGAGGCCTGCACTTGGGACCATTTTTGTGTCTGTCTCCATTGCCCAGCCTTGCTGGCACTGAGTTTATAATTGGGGAGGGTTGGGGGGAGGAGTTAGACATGGGGCCTGGGCTTTCTCGTCTGTATGATAAAGAAAATCATAGCATTCACCACATAAGGTCAACATTTTAAAAATGATTACCTTGGACTAAGCATCTCCCTAGACACTTTAAATATATTATTTTAATGCTTTCCTCATAGCAGCCCTGTAAAATTCACATTTAACCTCCCCATTTTCAGATGAGAAAATCGAGGCACAGAGAGAATATTCATTCAAGGTCAGTCAACCAGGAAGTGAGAGAGTTAATAGTTGAACTTGAACAACCTGACTCAGGCACCTGTGCTTTTGATTATTATGCCATTTGGGGGATGCAAAGGGCTTGCTACAGTCAGTGCCTGGCACTGGGTAGGCTTGTGTACCTGTTAGCTATTATCTGTCATATTACCAAGTAAGACTTGTTTCTGAACAGGACTGTGAAAAAGAATCTGTGGGTTTGGGGAAGGGGAACATCTGATTCTCAGAAATGGTAGCTATTATAATTTTTAATGAGCTGATTTTATTGCGTTGTTACAGCTCCTAAGGCACACTCCTTCTTGGAACGGGTTTAAAGATGGGGGTTTGGGGGACTTGCATGCATAACAAGAAGGTGGGGAGCCCCCAGCTCCCCTTGCCCCTGTTCTTCCTGAACAGGTAATTTTCATCACATCGACAGTCCTAGCCCGGTCACTCTGCCTGGGGGCACAGCTGAGAGCAGGGAGTCTCCAGTTTGCAGCAAACACCAAAGGGGGTTGTTAGAGCAGAGTCTGGAATTGAGGATGATGCCCCTGAGTCCGACCAAGTGTTTTTGGCATCCAGAGCTCCCCCGCCCGGGAGGAGGGCGGAGAAGCTGGAGCAGCCAGCTCTGATTTGCCTATAGGATGCTTTGATCTAGTGCAGGGAGGAAGTTGCCATGGCAACACCGGCTGGCTACCGGTCCCTTTCCTAGTGGTTCGGGCCACATCTCTGGGCTGGAAAGCCCTTCGTGGCGCCTCCCTCTTCTGCTCAGGCCCAATCTGGTGGGTGGGGTGGCATGGTGGATGGGTCCCCGAAACAAGTACCAAAGCCCCCTCCTCTTCTTTTTGGACAGAGGGGAAATGGAAGGAGGCAGTCTGAGTTACTTCTCCTGGGTTGAGGGGCGGAGGTAGTACCCATATCTTGCCAGACAGATCCCTGCGGGGGGAGTCAGAGCTCCAATCCCCTCCCTCCCCCATTTATTCCATTTGGCAGAGTTTTCTTTCCCAGACCAAGTGCTAACTTTTGTCCTTGAAATTTGACCTGAGCTTTTTCTGGGAAACAAAATGTCCTGTTGTTCCACCCCTTCCCCCTGAGATGGTGGGAACAGAGAGCTTCAGCCCTAGGCGGGGGCTGGGTGGACAAGGGGAAATGGTGAGGAGGAGGCCTTAAAATATCCCGTGGGGTCAGGGCCACTTGAGGGCATGAGGTTGAGGTTTTGGAGCCTCCCTCCCCACCCTCATCCCTAGGGCAGGCCACTTCCTGTCTCCCCTCCCCGCTCCCAGTTTACCACCAAGTGCAGTCTTCTTTACGCTTTGGGAGTTGGGTAGAACTCTTCTAGATTTGGGTAACTGAGGCACGGTAAAGAATGGAACCAATTGTTCCCGTGGTTCAAGCTGTGGGATGGGGTGAGAATAAGGACCCAAACTACTGTATCTTAATCCAGTTACCCTGAAAGAAGTATCTCAGAAAAGTCAGGTGCACAGGGCTTCACCC